TGGTCCACAAGCTAAAAACGCGATTTTTCGTACAATCAGGGGCCATAATTCAGGAAGTTACGTTCCGATATGCGCGAATATCGAAAGGAACCGAGATCTTTTGGTTATAAGCATACATTTCAAGTTTAAACCAAATCGGATAAAAATTGTGACCTCTACAGTATTCACAAGCTAAAAACGTGATTTTTCGTACAATCAGGGGCCATAATCCATGAAGTGGCAGTCCATTACATGCCAATATCAAAAGGAACCGAGATCTTAGAGTGATAAATCTATATTTCAAGTTTCATTGAAATCGGATAAAAATTGTGACCTGTAGACTGTTCATAAACAATTATGGACGGACGGACGGACAGGGGCGACGACAATATACATCCACGTGAAAACGTGGGCGTATAAAAATTTCAAATGATGGTCTGCTCATGAGAGGTCAACGTTTAGTCATACCAGCCACACTACAGCATGATATTTTGTCCTATCTCCATGATGGTCATCAGGGAGTTACAAAAACATGTCTTAACGCTTCTTCATCTGTATGGTGGCCTGGCATCACAAAGGACATAGACCAATTAGTGAAAAATTGCTCTCAGTGCGCAAAGTACAGAAGAGATCATGCTGAACCTATGAAAGGAACAGAATTTCCTAGTGGACCATGGTCACGTGTAGGCGCAGATTTCTTTCAATACAAAGATCATCAATATCTTTTAGCTGTAGATTATTACTCCCGAGATGTTGAAATATGCATAACTCCTAAACATGTCAAATCGATTTCAACAATCAACTTGTTCAAGAAAATATTTAGTCGACATGGGGTTCCAGATATACTTTTTACGGATAATGGCCCACAGTTCTCTGCTGAGGAATTCAAACGATTTGCTGACCAATGGTGTTTTGAACATGTAACATCATCACCAAGATATCCCCAATCAAATGGCGAAGCTGAGCGTGCTGTTCAGACCATGAAAAGTATCTTAAAAAAGTGTTACGATGAATACTTAGCACTACTACAGTATCGAAACACACCATTACAAAATGGGTTTTCGCCAGCTCAACTAAGCATGGGTCGACGTTTACGATCACGTCTTCCTTGCCCTACAGATGAACTTATTCCATTTACTCCTGATATAAATATAGTCAAAAGAAGAGAAATGGAGTATCGAACTAAGATGAAATCTAATTATGATAGAAGACATAGAGCATCTGATAGTGAAGATCTTTACCCAGGTGACACTGTGTGGATACCAGATCTGCACACTACAGGATCTGTATTGAATAAATGTCTGAAAAATCCTAGATCATACATCATTAAGATCGAAAATAATCTTAAAGTGCGACGTAATCGAAGAATGACGCGGAAGATAAAACAACATTCAAATCGTAATGAAAATGGCACAACTGAGATTCAACGTAAATCAAGCAGAAATATAAAGAAACCTAATCGATTTATTGAACAATATTGACTCCAATAGTGATTTAATGTGGATTGTTATTCTCTATTTCAGTTTATTAACAATTTCATTATAAGTTAATCAAACTTAAAAAGAAAGGGAGATGTAATAATATGTTCCAAGTCCATAAATATGACTATTGGGTTTTTCTGGTGATTGGGAGTTCTCTCCCTCTATTATGTATAAAACATGGCTGAATAATAAAACATGTGCTCACTATTATATAACAGGTAGTTATTTCCAATAAAAGTATATATAGAAAGCAGAGACGGTACTAGAAAAATATCGGATTCTCTGAAAACAGCCATGGGGCAAGCACTGGGCACAAATGTCAGGGTATCACTAACTGTAAGCCTGTCGGCTTATTGTCTGCCAGCTTGACTTAGAAAGTGGTTATTATTTCTTGATCGAATGGTTAAGTGGTTTTGGGAACATTGAGGGGTTAAAACGCACAACAGACTCTGCAATCAAACGGCGGAAAAAGAAGATGGCAAAAGATAATCAAAGAATTTTCTTAGGCTTCAATATATACGGTAAATAGATAGTAATACAATGTTTTGAGAGGGATTTGAAGCACATTTTTGATAGATTAATTAGTATGAATATGTTTTTAGTCCAAATATATCATCAAATCACCATGTTTGTACATGGGAAGGCATCTTTAACTTAAACTTTTAAGTTATCAACTTAATATTAACTTAAACTTTTAAGTTATTAACTTAATCTTTTAAGTTATTAACTTAATCTTTTAAGATATTAACCTAAACTTACATTTCAAGTTTCAACAAAATCGGATAAAAATTGTGACCTCTATAGAATCTATAGGGTCCACAACCTTGATATACCATATTTTTACGCTATTTGAGAACGAACGGCGGCCATTTTGTCTGTCAGTTTTGGGCCGATTTTCACGAAATTCGAACTCAACCGTCCTTAGGGTTTAACGGTGATATAATAATACGTTTTTTTTAAATCGGATAATAATTATGACCTCTATATGGTCCACAAGCTAAAAACGCGATTTTTCGTACAATCAGGGGCCATAATTCAGGAAGTTACGTTCCGATATGCGCGAATATCGAAAGGAACCGAGATCTTTTGGTTATAAGCATACATTTCAAGTTTAAACCAAATCGGATAAAAATTGTGACCTCTACAGTATTCACAAGCTAAAAACGTGATTTTTCGTACAATCAGGGGCCATAATCCATGAAGTGGCAGTCCATTACATGCCAATATCAAAAGGAACCGAGATCTTAGAGTGATAAATCTATATTTCAAGTTTCATTGAAATCGGATAAAAATTGTGACCTGTAGACTGTTCATAAACAATTATGGACGGACGGACGGACAGGGGCGACGACAATATACATCCACGTGAAAACGTGGGCGTATAAAAATTTCAAAGCTTGCATTGAAATTTTTTTCGATATATGTTCCCGACGTTTCCATGGGGAAGCCCCAAAATGCTTCCCTGGAGCAGTGAAGCTTCAGCGAAATATTTTACTTCAAATATCCTCAAAGGTCCCCTGATCAGTCAGCAAGACACCGCCGATGCTTCGGTGATGCCTCGGGAAAGCTTCGGGTCGTCGCAAGTCATATGAAACCATCGGGGGGCCTCGGGATAACTGCGAACAAATTTCAAAGCTTGTCTTGATGTTATCCCGACGGGGATGCGTCCCCGAAATCCTCCCCCCCCCCCCCCGAAGCATCCCCGATTTAAATATCCTCTAAGGTCCCCTGATACTTCAGCAAGATATCGCCGATGCTTCGGTGATGCCCGGGGAAACAAATATTTCGCGGAAGCTCCGGGGTAGCATCCCCGGAGGTTCCTTGTGGATCTGGAAAGCACCGGGGATGCACCTCTGGCCTGTTTTCCTGACAGTGACAATGCAAGCATTGAAACTTTTCGTAGTTCTCCCGCGGCCTCCCGATGGGCCCACGCGGCTCGTGATGCCCCAGGGGCTACCCTGGGACACCCGGAAACCTGTTCCCGACGCCTCCCGAGGCTCATCAATTTCTATCTGTAGTACATCCGCAAGGCAAAAATTGTCCAGTGGTACCTACATATTATATAAGACAATTGTAACTAGCTTAATACGCCCTAACAAGTGTCATTACTTGAAATTGCGCGACTTATTAATATTTCAATATTATTTTATCCTTATTATTTCGGCAATAATCTTCTATGTTACGCCAGGTAAAAATTTCGAAATTTCAGTCAGAAATAATATAATGACTTAGATGGCTAGATTTTGAATATCGTAGGGGTTGAAAACGGTTATTAAGTTTAGATATGGCAGAAATAAGAACTTATTTCTCCCACATGATCATATATGATGTGTTTGGTAGTAATCGGTTTACCGAGGACTTGATACACGATATACACACCTGTACTTTATCTACTTTAATCTATACATATATGTATATGGTTAGATATATACTCTATACTAATTGCACAATACTTAGGTATGTTATATTTTGCTTCAGGCCAGCAAACCCGGATCTTAAAACCTTTTGATATGTGTACATTTAACCTACATGTATTAAATTAATTCGTGGAATTTTTTTGTTGATAGGTTTGTTGATTAGGGATGTGTTACAATAGAAATAATACAAACATTTACGTCGTGATAAAACTTGAGGGTTGATTAGTAAATGTCGTAATTCATCACATTTCATTTTAACGGCTCTACTAATCAGCACCTGATTAGCAAAATCAGCTCCTGATTAGCAAGACCGTTTTTTGTCAAATATTTAAATTATCCATAATTTTGTAAATTTTAAATGAAAGCATTTGAATTTTGGGAATGATGTGTAGAATGTGCATATAGAACATATCTCTCCTTGTCGGTCATTTTTTGCAATACTTTGGACGCTCTTGTTGGTAGAGGACTCGATTTGAAAACGCTTTACTCTCCAGGGGCCTGTTTTACGACGTTTTAACTAAGATAAAATCCAAATTTTAGAAATTTGATTGGATAATATTAGATTGATTTTAGTGCTTAGCCAATCAAAATTGAAGTATCTACTAAAATTTGGATTTTATCTTCAGATAAGTTTTCGAGAAACAGGGCCCGTCTTGCCACAGTTATGAAGCAAGGGTCGCTTTAATTGTGAATAATTGTTATCACCGTTAATCTTTAATGTGCACAAATTTAGTGTAGACACAAAAGAGACATAAACTGTCAAACAAGGTGACTACATGCTAAAAGAAATATAAAACTTTCCATACAAAAACTATGTTTTTCATAATAAATTATAATAACAAATACATGAAATATTAAATTATGCATGTAATGAATAAAAGAATAACAAAATTTCATTTAAAAAAAAATGACAAAAAAAGAAATACCTGACCGACCGTAATTTATATATCAAATTCGACAACCATAAACTCTTTACCCGAAATAAATCTGCCTTTATATGGTTTATGGCTTAGAACTTTTAACTTACAACATTAAAATTTCGGTATTTACTACATCCGAATCGGCATTATTTTCTAGAACCTTGCTCGGTAATTAAGGTAGGGGCTTCAGAAAATAAATAATGAACACCTTATTGTTTATTAAATACATGTTACATGACAAGACTAGAGATTACAAGTATCAGTGCAATAAGAATATGCTGTGTGTCTTGAAGTCCTATTCGGAAGATCTGTTTATACAAACAGCACCAACTGTTGGTAAATATTACAAAGCCTACAGAATAATTATTTCCTAGTTTATATACCCACTCAAAATTACATGTTGGTATAATATAGTAAATATTGACAGAAACTTCCCACAAACCCCACGAGAAGAAAGGGGACAATACGACCGGTAAGTAACCGTAAACACAGTTGTTGTTTTTTATGGGCGGGGGGCTAACAAAAATACCAATAATCTGTAACAAAAAAGAAACACCCATGAGTTTTGTTTTCTTCAAAGAGTCCCCGAACTATTGGAAATGGAATCTGCTGCTAATGAGGACGGGCCGAACTATTGGTAACTTTGCTTATACTCAACTAAGGGTTGGCAACATATGAAGTTTTGGCAGGTGTTCCTAGACTAATATAAACAGGTTGTTTAGCTGCTGCTATTACACGAGATCCTAAATATGATATAAACCCTTCTTGTGTCAAGCCCAAACCATTGCTATTTAACAGAAACGCATAGGCTTCGCCTTCTTTTTGAAACTCTGCTCTGATCGCTTCAGCTTCGGCAGTGGCTCTGAAAATAAAACAAATTACTTTGTAAGACTAGAATGACTATGTATTTAACGTACAACTTTAATTTTCAGCACCAAACGGGATAATGAAGACCGGCATAGATGGTGTGATATACTTTAAGTTAGCGCTAATCCCAACCCTAACCCTGGACCTAGCCCCAATGCTTACCCTTAGCCTTACCCTAACCTACAATTTCACGAAGAACCTCGTGCCCTAGCCTTATTTACATCTCCGCGACCTTGACGGAAATGATTTGGCCTTAACAAATAGATTTAGCTGTGTACTTTGGGAGAAACCTTTCCCGTACAGCAGTGTTTGGGTTAACTCTTGATCAAATTACAAATGTCAAGGGTTCTTTTATCTGCCCATTAACTAGTTCACTGGTGAACATATGTTTTGTACCCCATCCGAACGACTAAACGCTTTTTGATTACATTGCCCACATCCTACACCACTGTGAGAGTATGTGTGAGTCAGTTCCACTCACTTGGCCATGGTGGTTTCCAAACTAGAAAATCAATATTTCTTACTTATAAATGCAGTATGTACCCAAGCGTCACCAAACAAACACTTGGTCGAGAGAAACTAACCTATTGTATCTCATCCTAAAATCTTTAATAAGGCAACTATTCCTCTTTAATTTGTTCATAAAAAAAGACATACATATAACACATACTTTGATCATTTTTTAAATAAACTAGACCTCACCCGAAAATATTGCAACCTTGGGGAAATTTAAAATGAGCTCCCATTTTGAATTTGGCCCCCTAGCGAAATTAGCCGTCACTTTTGTGGCGGGGGGGGGGGGATACCCAAACTCATTAGATTCAGCGGATCGAATTCTTATAGAAACCACCTTCAAATCGAGGTCTGGGAGAATTTGTTACAAATTCTAGGCATCGTCCGGATTCTGAATCTACACATATATTGAATATATATAATCCATCAAAAAACATAAGGTGGACTATATTTCCATGTCAAGGCTTTAACTGGGTTTTGGCTGCTGGAGACCAAAGAGCTGTCTTTACTTTTAAACAGTACAATGACTAGACCTCTTTGACTTAGGTCACAAATAAATTGTAGATTTAATTGAATTCTTTATGTTGATTTGTTTTGCGGGATGACAATATGTCTTTGTCAAAAATTTTGCGTCTATGGATAAAGCCAGTGTTAAGAATTTACATGTTCCACTGCCGACAGATTACTCTAAAATATAAAATTTAGTAATCATGCCGACCTCCGCTTTATATTTCGAAATATATTATTACTCAAATAGAGCCTGTCCATGTCCTAACCGAAACACATAATTCATCGAATAAAGCCAACCCATGTTCTAACAGAACACAATAATTAATTGAATAGAGCCTCTCAATGCTCTAACAGAAAGATAATTAGTTGAATAGCGAGCTTGTCCATTAAATAATAGAAACAGTGTATTTCCAAACTACCGTTACCAAATAATATTCCTTCAAACTCTTCCTGATATTACATATTTAAATATCTTCAAATAGGACAGGGTCAACTGGACAAAAGATGCGCTCTGTTGAAATTCCAGATAAATTGTTGAACGGTTTAAATACTCGCATTTTGACGCCAAGTAATTTCTTCTTATGGATAAACAACCACAGAAAATACTAACTTGTTGTGTCTAATTCTAGCATCTGATTCGGCTTTATTCATAATTATCTTTCCTTGGGTTTCTGCTTGTAATATTTCTGTATCAGCTTCAGTTAAACGACGCGGTTCTTCACTTTTTGCGACCTGTAATTATGTATAATGTTGTAGCTTATCAAAATCCGGAACAGGGCGTCCACATATCATTCCAAAATAAGGTGTTTGTCCCCTTTAGTTTGTTAAAACCCTCCAACCATTTAACTTTGTATTTGCATGTTACACCCATTAACGATAGCATGCAATCCGAGGCATCCACAAATTTAGATTACTTGATATGAGAAATGGGATTTAACGTCAACTCAACACAAACTGGTTCAATTTCATTTCAAATTCACTGGCGCATATATATGAGTCTTTAGCAGTGGAAGGGTACGTAAGGACCTGGAGAAAACTCATGACGTTAGAGAGATCGGGATCTCTTTATGTTTTAAATTATTGTAGATGCCCATGCATGTCTGCGATATCACCTCGGTGGAAGCGGACGTAAAATACAACTAAGAAACAACAAACATATATGTCTTGTGTATTCTATCAAGAATGGTGAAATGTATACACCATGCTTTCAGTTGTTGGGAAAAAACTATACGTCTACCATCAACGTTTTGGAGATGTTACGTTCCCAGTCCAGGGTAATAAATACGCATAAAATGTTGATAGAGTTTCCATTATTATTATCCAAGTTTGGTGACAGGGGCCATAGCTCTATGTAAAATTGATAGGATTGTTCCTTGTAAGGAGCCGAAGTTTTAAAGCAAGTTTGACATAACTAGCCTCCAAAAACCAATCATTACAGTGTACGGACAAACAGGCGTGACGACATTAGTCTCACACAAGAAATATGAGTGTATGAAAATAACCAGACTTCTTTGATTTGTGTGAAATATAAATTGTTGATTTTCTTTGATGGCATAATATAAAAATTGGTTATGTTGATTAAGAATATAGCCAGTGTTGGGATTTAAACAAGGCGACTTCTGCTTGATTTGTCGAAACAAAAAATTTAATGCATAGAGTTTGCCCCATCACTAATCCTATAGCCTGTTTTAACGTCATTTACATTTACCCAAATCAAAGAAATTTTACTCCTTTTAACTTACTTTGATGTCTTCTCTTGCCCTTTCTTTACTTCTGATGGCTGCCTCGTAGGCTGCGGGTCTTGCTATATTATTGACCTATAAAACACAATAAATGAAATTAAATTAATGTTAATTTTTGTACACAGAAACCTTAAATGCGAACTATTCGTTTTCTGATACAAGACTGAATGGTGTGCCAATAAGTGTCATCCTTTCATATCAGATCGTTGAATTCATGGGCAAGTCTGATTGCGATACCAAAAATGCATATTCCATAGGACACTTCAACATTATATTACACTTTGTGAAAAAATTGGCGTATCACTACTCATGCTCCTGCATTTATTCTTTGGCCGCATTGACTGGAGAACGAAGACGTTAAATTAAGGTGTTGTCTATTTGGAACCCAATCATAAGAGAGGCAGAGAATTGGGGTTAAACGTCCACCCGGCACAAACTAGGTGACTAACATGGTTGGAGGAAACCAGAGGGTCCGGAGAAAAACTCCGAAGGTTGGACAGATGACCCTTGCCACGTAGAAATGTGGGACGGCCCGAAACCACGCCACTTGACTGTATTGCTGGCGGTAATATATAAACCTTGAATGTGTTGACCTGTGCAGCTATATACTAATTTATCCATAGTCTTTCTGTTCTCTGTATACTTCTTGCAGCACTGTGAAACCTTGATTCCCGGAGACTGATGGTGTGACGTGATTCGATTGGTAATAAATACATAGAAAAACCTGATACCTGTAAATCTGTAACTGAACAATGGAGAATACTGTATCGATCGTGTAACGTCTTTCTAAGAAATTCTTGAAATGCGCCTCGTTCTGTTTGAAACTGTGTCGTGTTAAAGTGGCTACATGCTTCGTGTAATGCTGCTTCGCCTGGACAAAAAATGAATCAAAATCAAATGTTGTTACGATATAAAACCTCGGGTAGTCATTTGAGGGAATTTATATGCGTCACAAAAGTGTTACAAGGTGGCTCTCTGACAGGAATATCAGCCCAGAAAAGGTTCAAATAGCTTCAGTATTTACAAAGATACGACAAATTGAAAATTTGTCAATATTTGGCATCCGCTTCCGACAATATGTTGTACATGGCCAAAACAAGCCAGCGCAACCTGTTATTTTCGCTGAAATATTTTACCTAGCATGCAGAAAGTGTTTACCTATGTCACTAAGAACGTCCTTGTAAATCGTGAAGGTTTTGAACTCTAGAATAATTTTCTTCATAGATGATGTATGAGCTTTATATTGGTATTGAACATGCAATCGTATATCTACACCATCCGAATTTAAGCACTGAAATAAAGAATCAACAGGGTTTACGAGATTCCAATAATCTTCAATCTGATACTAATTAAGCCAAAATTTGAAATAGGATTATACTGTCACCCACATCAAAGCCTGTACACCCACCCGTCCGTCCTACCACACATAGCACAGAACGTTTTAGATTCCCTTTCAAAATAACTTGCATTGTTTGGCGAGATTTGTTTTGAGATTGCTTGACTTGTCATGTTGTATGTGGTTTGATAATATCAACATTACTACGGGATTTAAACAGCAAATTTGTGTTCAATTTGTCTAAATCCTAGCTCATAACCCGACGTGCATGTTTTGACACGCATGGTTTGACACGCATGGATCGCATAGGGTTTGGGAGCTCGCTGAGCAGTCGCAAGAAACTGAGTGAAAATTTTTTATGTGCAGGACCAAAAGTCTCTACGGCTAATCTGCGATCTTCTACGGAGCCGAACACACGCAAGTGACGTTTAAGTCTCACACTCGGGTTACTAAAATTTTCCCCGTAATCGACTGCCCGTAGTAGCACGTACGGCGGGCTGTACGCTAGGTTTAACTCTGGACAGACCTCGAATACAAGTTTGTTCTTGGGCATGATTTGGATCCCGTCGAAAGGTGTGTACGCTGCCACTAGTCTTTAAAATGAAATGAAATGGGGTTTAACGTCCTACTGTTTTGCTCTGGGCTAATGAAGACGGGCATACGCCATACAGTGTGCTATGAGGGAAATTTTGCCCGGACAGCGGCACTATCGCCTACTCTTATATCGAATTCCAACTGCCAAGGGATCTTTTACGTGCACTCCAATGTATACACGGGACCTCGGTTTTTCGTATCATCGGAAGGACTAGACAGCTCTCATTGTCAGGCCCTCCGTCCTGCGTCACTGACAAGGGGAACCACGCCAGAAAATCTGGATGCACTTTCTCGGCCAATGCAGGGATCGAACAAACGACCTCCAGGCTAGCGAGCCAGCGTCTTACCCCTAGTCTTTAAAAAAGTATGGTCAAAGTTAACTCACAGCTAAATTATGGAAAGCCATAGTGGTGAATGTATTAGGAAAGATAATGAATTCATATCCTGGTGGTCCTGTATACAATCCTTCTAATTTTGGTTCACCATCTAACGTTTTCTGTATGGTGTTATATTTTATTCCAACTATTTAGAAAAAAAACCAACAGATATGTCAAATCGGGATAAAATAGGGTTAGCCATTGTTGGGGTACAGACATTTTAACTTTCAATTTACGAGTCTTAACAAATTTTGTTTTGTTTTTCACGGTTACGTAAGACCGTGTAAAATATCTTACTCTTATTTACAAATTGCGGTATACTTTCGATAAGTAAGTGATGCCATGACCATTCTGCAAATAATATTATTTCAAATTGATTAGACCTGTATTTCCTTTCTTAGTAACATTATTGCTCAATATATGATGTTCGTTCAATATTCCCGGTGAATGTTTATTGAATATTGCTGGACACTGGGTTAACGTATATTGAATATTTTTGGTTAACGTATATTGAATATTTTTGGTTAACGTATATTGAATATTTTTGGTTAACGTATATTGAATATTCCTGGTTGATTTTTATTGAATATTCGTCTTTAATGTTTATTGAATTAGCAGTGCGTACTGAGTGGTCTATTAGCAAGTAGAATTAAGCAGTTAATTAGAACTCACTGACCACTCATTAACTTATTAACTTGGGTGAGATGACCGTTTAAACTGGTATTCAAAGGCTTTCAATACTCCTGCATGTATTTATTATTTTGCATGTTACTTACCTTCATCAGAACTTAATTTTTTGAGAGATTTCACAATAAGAGTAATTGATATCACAGCAACAACAACCAATAGTATGGATATGGAAATACACTTGGTACTTGTTCCCATTTTGCTTTTATATTTTACTGAAAAACATAAGAATTTACATGTAGATTTATCAATTCGTTATGGTTAACACTTAAGTTGACAATATACATCTTCTCGTGATGAGACAGGATATAAGTGGTAGTTTGCGTAGGTAGGACTGCGATATCACCTCGGTGGAAGCGGACGTTAAATAAAGCTATTTCACATACGTTAAGACACTGGCTCCATAAGCAAGGTGGTCTCCTATGTTGGCCTTGAAATGTCGTCGGGATTTTCCGATGCGCCCTTGCCCCGAGGTCCCGTGTACACATTGACATGTAGGTAAAAAGAAACATTGACCGATGGAATTATGAAAAAAGAGTAGGCAATATTTCTCTCGCAGTATGGCGTTAGTCCAATTGATGCAGCAAATTAGGGCGTGAAATTCCATTTCATTTCATTTCTTTTATTTACTGGACTATATATGAACTCTGGGGCGGTGGTCAAAATGTTTCAGTGGTAATGATCGATAATACTTAAGAAAATGAGAAAAGTAGGTGATTTTTGTTTGATCTCTCTAAATATTTAAAATCTTAATTTCGTGTAAACTTCTGATGTACACGTAATAATAGTTATTTTCCACGTGCACGTTTTATTAATTATTTGTTGAAATTTATTGAAATTCGGCGGTCTTCTTGAAGTTGACCCGACCGTACCTTTAAAGCATGCAGCCCTAGCTAGGCTTCACCCCCGAAATGTATAAAGAGTACGTTATTTCTGGGATATGTTTACAGTAAAGGTATAGTTATTATTTGGTTATCGAACGATGGTTTCGTACGGCCCGTGGTAAAAGGCTCTGCATACAGAGTCAAACTAAGATAGCCTACCCCTGGTGCAAGCTCAACCGTTAAAACTGGGGCTATTTTGGACCAATCCAGAAAACGGTTTAATTAACACCAAGTAATTAAGTTTGCTTGGCCTCAGAAATGATATAGGTTGTAATACACTGTGCTCAAATTTAATAAGGTCATTCAAAACTTACCCTATTGAAAGTACAAGTACATCTAATTTGCCGACACTTAACCCGAATGCTGTGCTGTCAGTAGACTATCAAACGACCACCGTTTGTCGATTCACGATTCATGTCGAAATATTGTTGCCGATATAACCTAAGACCGGTAACTCCCAACTCCGTGTTCATAAAACCTGGATTATGAGTCCACTGTTAATGTATAGCATGATAATACATAACGGGTGGATTGTGTAATATAACGAAAGAGAAGACTGGTAAGATTATAGCGCATGGTAAATAAAAACTAGAGAAACATTAATGAAAGTTCAATTACATATATTGAACACAAAATACAGTAATCGGTATGGAGATCTATGAAATTTACAAGCCTGTCAATCAATACTTTTCTTTTCGTTGACCTGGGTGTGTGTGTGTGGGGGGGGGGGGGTATGACTGGAGTATAACGACACAAACTAGATCATTTTGGGACTAACATACCATCCAATTTATTTTTTAAAAAATCCACTGTAACGTACATGCTGCTAATTATTGAAGCCACGCCACTCATTGTAACGTACAAGCTGCTAATTGAAGCCACGCCACTTGACTCAATGACAGACCTGCTTAGACCATATCTACCCAACCCACCAAATAAAATTTAAAACGCCACTACGATCTTCATGATGTCAAGGTGTAAGTAAAGTGACTCTAAACTTACCCGACCAGGAACTGGGATGGTATGTATGCCTATAACTGGCATAAATAATACAGGGCTGTTACTTAGATTACGAAATACGTAACAAGGAAAATAACAATACTAGATTTGTGTCGCAAGAGGCGCTCATATTTCCTTGCTAGAGTAAACACGTACAGGTTGAAACACGTTTATCTGACACCTATCAATATAAACAAATAGGTCTATTACTAATACAGCAGAAGCGCTGGTGATTATTATCAAACAAATGAACATAAAAGGCCAATATCAGTAAGTATATGTACTTTTAATAGGTCGTAGCCTACTGTCAGGTGTATTCTTTAACCCGTGGGGAATATTTCCATTTTCATCCGTTGAGTATTGATATGTCGGCATGTATATTAGATCGTTTAAAGTATATTGCGGAACGTGGTGGGGTTTATAATGTCTCGGCAACGATACTTGACAATTTGTATGGTGTGCATTCAAAGATAGGTGAATTTTGTTCTATTTTGGCAACTATTCTTCGATTTTCATTTCACTGTAAAGGTGTCTTTTGTGTATACGACACATTTCCCTTGTGTATAGCCCTCGCACTGGCTCACATTATCCACTCCTGATAATTAAATATATCCCCAGACTTTTAATTCACACTTCTTTGATTGGTATAACATATTAATACAAGGCACAATTTTATGGATACACAATTACTGAGTGTTTTCGACGGGGATACCCGATCTCGTCTTTATCAAGCAAATGTGCTTGAAGTCGCTTAGTATTAAACTCAGTAAATTGTACCTTGTGTTAATTAATTATATACTGTTATTCCGGCCACAAACAGACAGTTAATAGGCCCCAAACAAGCCCGAATAAAAATTAAATATAGTCATACCAATCAATTAATCAAATAGATCAACCCATTTAAAGTTTACATTGTTATGTCATTTTACATCGTCATTATACGTGTCTTATATAAATAAGGTAATTTTATTCGTTTCGGTGGTTTGCATGGCCGTGAAATACAGGTTACAATTCTAAGGAATACAATTAGGCTATACTGCTTATTCTGAGCGCCATATATTGGAGGTTTACGTCCTACTTTTCTGCACCGACTGGGCGAATGAAGACAGGTGGGGGGTGGGAGGCAATTAGTTTAATGCAAAGTATCCCCCTACCCGATACCCCATTGCTTATATTTCTTTACCTTAAAGCGAGAATTTCATATTTTCTAAGAAAGTCAAAACATAATTATTTCTATGTCTTTTGCTCAATAGGTTATCAACTCACTATTATACGATCATGGGCATTATTTCCCATCCTTAAAAATCGTTGACACAGGAAATAATAACACAATTACCTCCCTTGTTTTCCCATTACCTCCATGGAATAGCTATGTTCAAACGTTTGAATTTGAAGCTGAAAATGATATTTTTGCCAATTTCTCAGCTGGCAATAGTGAATTATAGGATTAATAGGATTATTCTTTAACATGGTAGGACTGTTTATGGATACCATCTATTTTAAGGCTTTATTTTAATAAACTTTAAAAATATAACTTAACAATATGAAATTGTAGCTTTAATTAGGAGAGCCTGCACGTCAAATACTGAAATAAAACAATAAAATACAGTCTAATGTTGTGACTAAGACAACCAGTAGAACCATATTAGATAATAATAACAATTTGTTTTGCAGAAATTAATTCAGTTTTGTGCATATAATTCAACGGCATTGTGCCATTTTTCCAGTGATTACGTTTCTAGTGTAAGGAAAGATTTGTAATATAAGAATCTTCAATGAAAAAAATGGAATTAAACAGTTAGAAGGTTTAATGGATCCATGTGATTTAAAGCGTCGACACATGGATCCAAAATTTTCACAGTCTACAACAGAATACAATACAGAACAGCTGTATTCATCCGCAAACAAAAATAGTACCTAAAATTCATGTACATTATATAGGTTTAAACGTCAAATGAGGTCAAATGAATAGAGACGTCTTTAATATATACTAAATATTCGTATCATCCCAAAACGACAATAAAACAGTGAGAAAAAGGAAAATCTAAGTAATGGCAATCTAATTAACATAAAATTTACGACATAATCGATTCTTCAATGTTTTGATGGTGATCATGAAGAAAATACATCTGTTCTCAGGAATCCGATAAGATTTTCAAAAAAAAGATCACTAGAATTATAGATTGTTATTCCACAAAGTCGAAAGGTATGTTAGATTTTTCATTCAGTCAAGGCGGAAGTGGCCATAATAGTTTTAGAGATCACAACGTGATGGCGCTCCTGCGTCGCGACAAACGGGGCCGATTTGTCTAGACTAGCTATTTTTCCTTTGTGCCCCTTTTTTTTACCGTGTCACATTAAGCGTACATGTGCAACCGGTGCCTTTCTTTACCATGTAGGTCTACTTCGTGCAGTAGCCTACTCGTATGTATGGTAATTGGCTGATTGGGACCATGGCTGATTGGGACCTGGCTGACTGGGACCAGATTTGTGGCTGACTGGGAACAGATTTGTGGCTGATTGGGACCAGATTCTTGGCTGACTGGGACCAGATTTTTGGCTGATTGGGACCACGACAAGGCTCATTCGGACCATTACTTAAATAACGCGAGTATTTAAAATATGTTTGCATATTTTTGATAATAAGACAACTGACAATAAATAGTGTAATTAGTCACAAATAATAGTGTAATTAGTGAATGACGGCTTCAATACAAATGAGCTAAATCACAGAGAAGATGCTTCACATTCTTGGCTGATTGGGACCAGATTCTTGCCTGATTCGGACCATGATCAGACCAATGACGAGAGTGTTTTAAATATGTTTGCATGACAATAAATACTACCCAGTATTATCAAATTGTAACCCAATATCAAATAGCCTCATATCAGTATAATTACTGCAACGAATGCGATATTTTGTAATGAGTGAAGTTGAAAAAATGACAGACAAATTGTAGGCCTACTTTGTATAATATTTTAATTAGTAAATATTATTTTATTTCATATAACGAGACATTTGGTGGCGATTCAATTCCTTTACAAACCAATATTTTATTATTTAGTAGGACCTTCCTGATCTAGACAAGTGTTGAATGCAATACATTAAATTGGTTGACAAATGTGTAAAATTTTCTTAGTAATACACATAAAACAAAGTTAATTAAATCACACTTTATAGTATAAAACTCCGGTAGCAATATACAAGACCTTAATCACACCATTTATTGTTAATTAATGACAAGCCTAGTAATCCAATAAACAATCAGATCCAATCACACAAATTCCCTGTTGTGGCTGTAAGTAAGATCTGACTAATTTTCATGTAGTCATATAGTACACTTTCCTAGATATTACCTACCTGTTTATAATTGCTTGTGTTAAAATTGAGTCTATAAATCTATTATGATTTTTTCTTTACAAGGTAGGATTAACATTTTGACTGCTTTTACAAACATCATATTTGAAATAACCGATTACCGTTGCTACTGTATTGCTGGTATTAATTTTCAAATTTGTATGGTTTAAACATTATTTCTATAACATAATTACACCCAATATATGTATAATGGATTCGGATTTTCGTTATGCTACTGTATTGCTAGTATTAGTTTTCAAATTTGTATGACTTATTGAAATTAGCATTTAATTGGTTTAAACAGTATTTCTACGTATAATTACACACTATATATAGGCTATAATTGATTCCGAAACAAGCTATGATGTTTATAAAATAAAATAAAAATGGTCTGTTTAAATTGCATAAAACGTATGATAATTGACATAAGATTAATGAGATAATCTCTGTTAATGTAGTAACTGTGACATTAAAAAAATGAAATATAAACATAGATAACATAGGCCTACATAAAAGCACATAATTATAGCCACGTTTATAGCCTAGATAAAACTCCTTTAAACACAATTCAATATCAAAACCTCAGTTTCTAGTATTTTTTATCGTGTGGTCCGAATCAGCCCAGTGGTGGTCCCAATCAGCCTAGAATGTGGTCCCAATCGGCCTGGAATGTGGTCCCAATCAGCTTTGACTTTTGGCCCAATCAGCCATGGTCCCAATCAGCTTGGTTCCGTATGTATATATAACTGCTCAGAACTTCAAGCTATTTTTGCATGATAAAACTAAATCTAGATGATTTGAACAAAAAGTTGACTTCGCATAGGATAACAATACTAGAGTGAATGACTAAAAAACGGAATAATTTGTATTATTATGATGGTTATAGTTTATAGGGTTCGGGAATCAGATTAATCGATTCTTCTAACAACAGAGCAATATAATTCCATGCAATTTCTTTAATTATGAATTTTAAATTAAAATACTGTTTTATACATTCAAATTAATCCGCAATGATGACATCTTCGATTCAATAATACATAACACCGGGTCACCGGTATTCTTTTGTCTGCAATTCACAGGTATTTTTTTTAAAGAGCGAAATACATTCAGTGTTATCCTTCTGGACGATCGAGTCTTTGTCAACCGGAACTTGAGGCCCGGTTCATAGGTTATAAATAGTTTGTTTACGAAAGAACTCTTATTTCGTCTCTAGAGATTGTGAAATGTCAAATTGCTTATTTATATCGTGTATTTCGTACCTTATTTCAGTTATCGGTACTGTTAATAGAATTGCAACATCGACGGAATCACAAAATTGAAGGTAGGTTCTTCTGACTAAAGGTTGGTTTGTTGGTTGGTCACTGGTGAGATTTGATATTCATATAAATGATAATATTAATCATAACTAGAACTGCGAAGCAGTAATGACGGGTTTCACCGGTGCCACGTTACCCTTGAACTTATGTCACTTCCGGTACCAATGAAACCGTTAAACAGGTTTCCACATAAGCATTGCACACATGAAATAAAATGGACGCAGAAACAACCAAATCCAGCAATCAATTCATTTGCTACATGTCAGTGATCCTGTCAAAATTACATTACTTCCGGTGATAATGAAAATGTTAAATTGGTTTATGAAATCAGAAATAGCATCATCACATGTTGAAAATTTTATGTAAATCCTATAATAATTGCCACCTTTATAGACCAAAAACCTTGAAAAATGACTTGTAGAAAATCGCCTATTTCTCTGCAACCGTACAAGTTAGAAACCATTTTGAGGTATCTGTATGATCGAATGAGTTCATTCTATTTGTTGATTGGAATCAAATATCATAATTTTAAAAACATTACAAATCTTATTCATTTGAATAAAATATCTGTTTTGAAGGCTAAAAATACAGTTTTTGCCAAAATGACGTTACTTCCGGTGATAATGAAAATCTTAAATTACTTGTATGATATCGTAAATGGCATTATGTATCACACAGTGAAAATTTCATGAAAATCGAATAATAATTGACACTTTTTTTGACAAAAAAACCTTAAAAAGTGACCTGTTGAAAATTGCCTATTTCTCCGCAACTGAACAAGTTAGAAACCATTTTGTGATATCTATATGATCGTAAGGGTTCATTGTATTAGTTGATTTGAATCAAATATCAAAATTTTAAACAAATAACAAATATGACTCATTTGAATAAATTACTGGTTTCGAAGGCTATAAATACAATTTTTGCCCAAATTACGTCATTTCCGGTGATATTGAAAATGTTAAATTGGTTTGACCTAGTTAAAATTGACATTACACATCAAATGGTGTAACTTTTATGAAAATCGAATAATAATTGACTCTTTTACAGGCAAACTAGCGTAAAAAGTGACTCATGCAAAATTGCCCATTTCTCGGCAACTGCGCATATTACAAATTAATTTTCACATACATTCTCTCCGTATAGATTATTGCTACGAGTTTATGAAAGTTACGAAGTAATATTTTAAAATATGAAAACGCTGAATGGGTTGTAAATAGCTTAATTTTACACCTTTTTTCACCTTTTAATCGAAATAGCCCGAAAACGGAATCGAAATTAAAAAAAATGGTCCCAACATTTTGTGCGCCTTTAAAGGGCGCACAATTTCAGTTATACCAGATTTGAAAAAAATAATATTTGCTTTCGAAAAATGGTACCTAACTGTCAAAATTGTAGTTTTTTGTCAATTTACGCCACTTCCGGTGCCGACAGATAACACTATTGGTAACAAAAAAAATGACAATTGAGACAACGGGGCATATGAACTTTGTTTTATACAAATCGAACAATAAATAATTAATCTAGGACTGAAAAACTGAATTAGCCAATGGGGGCCAAGGAAAATTACCGAGACAAAAAATTTTCACATTTTTGCCCAAGTCAGAGGACTCGTTATATTTGTGTAAAACACGATTAAAAAATATTTATAAATAAAAAAGTTTTTTGTAAAAATTTAAATTTTCTAAATTTAGCGCCTAATATCTGCGAAGATTTGCCGAAAATCAAAAATCAAAAGTAGCGTAGCTATGTGCCCCGTCTCCGGCTATGCCAAAATGCATCGAAAGTTAAAATCCAATGATTATTGTTAAAATTACTGCAATATTTCTAAAAACGATAGCTTCGGTGATTTCGGACATTTCGCATTGTCGCAGAACGTTCAAAATAGCTTTATCCTCTAAGTCACACCCACTTTTCCGATAAAACCGAAGAAATCGTAACGATCCGACAATCAGTTGCTGAGATCTACTCAAAACAAAAGAAGAATAATAATAATAAGAACTAGAACTGCGAAGCAGTAATGACGGGTTTCACCGGTGCCACGTTACCCTTGAACTTATGTCACTTCCGGTACCAATGAAACCGTTAAACAGGTTTCCACATAAGCATTGCACACATGAAATAAAATGGACGCAGAAACAACCAAATCCAGCAATCAATTCATTTGCTACATGTCAGTGATCCTGTCAAAATTACATTACTTCCGGTGATAATGAAAATGTTAAATTGGTTTATGAAATCAGAAATAGCATCATCACATGTTGAAAATTTTATGTAAATCCTATAATAATTGCCACCTTTATAGACCAAAAACCTTGAAAAATGACTTGTAGAAAATCGCCTATTTCTCTGCAACCGTACAAGTTAGAAACCATTTTGAGGTATCTGTATGATCGAATGAGTTCATTCTATTTGTTGATTGGAATCAAATATCATAATTTTAAAAACATTACAAATCTGATTCATTTGAATAAAATATCTGTTTTGAAGGCTAAAAATACAGTTTTTGCCAAAATGACGTTACTTCCGGTGATAATGAAAATCTTAAATTACTTGTATGATATCGTAAATGGCATTATGTATCACACAGTGAAAATTTCATGAAAATCGAATAATAATTGACACTTTTATTGACAAAAAAACCTTAAAAAGTGACCTGTTGAAAATTGCCTATTTCTCCGCAACTGAACAAGTTAGAAACCATTTTGTGATATCTATATGATCGTAAGGGTTCATTGTATTAGTTGATTTGAATCAAATATCAAAATTTTAAACAAATAACAAATATGACTCATTTGAATAAATTACTGGTTTCGAAGGCTATAAATACAATTTTTGCCCAAATTACGTCATTTCCGGTGATATTGAAAATGTTAAATTGGTTTGACCTAGTTAAAATTGACATTACACATCAAATGGTGTCACTTTTATGAAAATCGAATAATAATTGACTCTTTTACAGGCAAACTAGCGTAAAAAGTGACTCATGCAAAATTGCCCATTTCTCGGCAACTGCGCATATTACAAATTAATTTTCACATACATTCTCTCCGTATAGATTATTGCTACGAGTTTATGAAAGTTACGAAGTAATATTTTAAAATATGAAAACGCTGGATGGGTTGTAAATAGCTTAATTTTACACCTTTTTTCACCTTTTAATCGAAATAGCCCGAAAACGGAATCGAAATTTAAAAAAATGGTCCCAACATTTTGTGCGCCTTTAAAGGGCGCACAATTTCAGTTATACCAGATTTGAAAAAAATAATATTTGCTTTCGAAAAATGGTACCTAACTGTCAAAATTGTAGTTTTTTGTCAATTTACGCCACTTCCGGTGCCGACAGATAACACTATTGGTAACAAAAAAAATGACAATTGAGACAACGGGGCATATGAACTTTGTTTTATACAAATCGAACAATAAATAATTAATCTAGGACTGAAAAACTGAATTAGCCAATGGGGGCCAAGGAAAATTACCGAGACAAAAATTTTTCACATTTTTGCCCAAGTCAGAGGACTCGGTATATTTGTGTAAAACACGATTAAAAAATATTCATAAATAAAAAAGTTTTTTGTAAAAATTTAAATTTTCTAAATTTAGCGCCTAATATCTGCGAAGATTTGCCGAAAATCAAAAATCAAAAGTAGCGTAGCTATGTGCCCCGTCTCCGGCTATGCCAAAATGCATCGAAAGTTAAAATCCAATGATTATTGTTAAAATTACTGCAATATTTCTAAAAACGATAGCTTCGGTGATTTCGGACATTTCGTATTGTCGCAGAACGTTCAAAATAGCATTATCCTCTAAGTCACACCCACTTTTCCGATAAAACCGAAGAAATCGTAACGATCCGACAATCAGTTGCTGAGATCTACTCAAAACAAAAGAAGAATAATAATAATAAGAACTAGAACTGCGAAGCAGTAATGACGGGTTTCACCGGTGCCACGTTACCCTTGAACTTATGTCACTTCCGGTACCAATGAAACCGTTAAACAGGTTTCCACATAAGCATTGCACACATGAAATAAAATGGACGCAGAAACAACCAAATCCAGCAATCAATTCATTTGCTACATGTCAGTGATCCTGTCAAAATTACATTACTTCCGGTGATAATGAAAATGTTAAATTGGTTTATGAAATCAGAAATAGCATCATCACATGTTGAAAATTTTATGTAAATCCTATAATAATTGCCACCTTTATAGACCAAAAACCTTGAAAAATGACTTGTAGAAAATCGCCTATTTCTCTGCAACCGTACAAGTTAGAAACCATTTTGAGGTATCTGTATGATCGAATGAGTTCATTCTATTTGTTGATTGGAATCAAATATCATAATTTTAAAAACATTACAAATCTGATTCATTTGAATAAAATATCTGTTTTGAAGGCTAAAAATACAGTTTTTGCCAAAATGACGTTACTTCCGGTGATAATGAAAATCTTAAATTACTTGTATGATATCGTAAATGGCATTATGTATCACACAGTGAAAATTTCATGAAAATCGAATAATAATTGACACTTTTTTTGACAAAAAAACCTTAAAAAGTGACCTGTTGAAAATTGCCTATTTCTCCGCAACTGAACAAGTTAGAAACCATTTTGTGATATCTATATGATCGTAAGGGTTCATTGTATTAGTTGATTTGAATCAAATATCAAAATTTTAAACAAATAACAAATATGACTCATTTGAATAAATTACTGGTTTCGAAGGCTATAAATACAATTTTTGCCCAAATTACGTCATTTCCGGTGATATTGAAAATGTTAAATTGGTTTGACCTAGTTAAAATTGACATTACACATCAAATGGTGTCACTTTTATGAAAATCGAATAATAATTGACTCTTTTACAGGCAAACTAGCGTAAAAAGTGACTCATGCAAAATTGCCCATTTCTCGGCAACTGCGCATATTACAAATTAATTTTCACATACATTCTCTCCGTATAGATTATTGCTACGAGTTTATGAAAGTTACGAAGTAA